TGATCTAGCTTCATCATGAGCACCGACCCCCGGTTCAAAATCAACACCATCGTTTTGTCACCGCGCCATACAGGTGTACTGTTAACACGTCTTCGGGCACTGATATTCATGATTGCTGCATTATGGGAATCGGGCAGGAACCTCGATGTATTGTGTTCGAGACCAAAATGGCAAACGCTTGCGCACGATCAGAATCACCATAAGCTTCTTCAGGCTCGGAGGCAGCTGACGAAGCAACACGTGAGTCTGGACGGGCCTCCAAATTACCGTCGCTTGAATCCGTTGAGATACAAAACGATTAGCTCTTGATCGACGGCTTACCGATCAACCCAATCATTTAGTATGCATTGCCAGTGCAGTGCAAATTCAGGCTGTTGATCACCATTTTAGATGGCATTAGCAAGTGCGTCGAACACGTCACTTCTTCTGGAACAGTATAAGAAGCAGATATACCAATGCAGCGGCCTTGCACAGATGGGTTCTAAGTGTTGCTCTAACCGGGTGCATGCACTGGCAGAAGAAATATCTCGACAGCCGCTAGGTTTGAGTTCGTCTTTGGCAGATAAAGTCCATTTTCCCGCAAGCTTGCAGGATTATCGCAGTTTTGAAAGAGGAAACGAGTACGGCAACTGGAAAGAAGTGTTCTTTTATTTTGCGTAAGACAGTCGCGTGCAAGACTTTATTGACCATTTTGAACGTACTACGTGTTTCTGTATGAGGCCAGGCCTAAAAGCAGTACGTAGATTGCTGAGCACTGCAACTCAACTCAGAGCGGGGCGAGAAGGATGCAGAAAGTGTCTGTAAGGAAGCGGTGGCGTCAAGCAAGTCACACACAGAGAACCACTGAGGCAAACAACCTCGGTCGGCAAGTCTCATCCAAGCCACCATTCCCAGTCAGAGGCCAATGGAATGGAAGGTAGTGTCAGGCCGAATCCCTAACAAGACCATGCGGGCAGAACTGCCTCAGGGCGGCGACTAGCTAACACCTAGCAACCTCCTCAGATTCGGAACATTTGAAGAACGGCACGCGCAGCTTGTTGGTACGCAGCGGTTTTGCCCCTGCCGCTACGCAGACCCTGAATAGCTTGGCACCAATCATCAGGGCTCACCGCAGAACATATTTCAATCAGTCGTCTACATCACAGGAAAATTGTCAACGGTGGCATCGGATATTGTCATGCACGTTCTCTGGGTTCGAGATCTAGCAAGAATACTCGTCCCTGCATCGCTGTGAACGGGTTTTGGAGAGTCTGAAGCCTCAGTACTTTTTAACTGCGCGCTCGGGACATCCCAAGCGAAATGCGTAGAGCTAGCTACCGTAGGCTCCGGATATTCAATCGGTTGTTTGGCAGCCATGAGTTCCTATGCAGATAAACTCGGGTGGAGGCATCACAGCTTGGAGAGATGCAGACGGGCAGATTCACAAAGGGAATCACGCGAGGTGAATCTGGCGTAAAACTTTCTGCGTAAGACTTTTCAGCACTTCGTTCATTAATTTGCAAGTTTGGAATCTCGACCGTACAGTTGCACCCCTACTGTAGAGGCTCCTTTCCACATCTTCAGGTAGGCCCAGTGGCAAAAATATAGATATCGTCAAAGTATCGACCCACGTTTACTGACTTCAACATTTGGCCTGCTTAAGGGGAAATCAGGTAGCGTCAAAAGAGTGTCGGCGAGTGGTGGGCGAAAAGGGCTGGCCTCCATCAAACACTCCACATCACAGCCACCGCTCCCGCTGCGTACAAAAGCGGAGCTTTCATGCAGAGCAGCCTGATGCAAGGCCAGATGGCCGCAACAGGGCAAAAAAGTCCCATTCAAGCGTCCACTTCTTTTTCCACGAAGTGTCGAAGATACTGACAAGGAACTTCCAACACGTACATTGGAAACTTTGAAGATTGGCTGTCACAAGTGAACCCGCAAAGAAGGATGCCCATGAACATTTGGACAGCCGTACTCATCGACTATCTTTGGCAGAAGAGCGGAGCTGCCATGAACTAGCAAGGTGATTGAGACACTAAGTTGAGGATTCAGTACGGCAGGGGGAAACACGTGCTGCAAATGCAACGCTCCAGAGCGTTCCGCACGACTTTCCTAACGATCGAAGTATTCCTTGTTCCTTAAGGAAGGCCCTAAGCTCACGCTGTACTGAGCTCGAATATCGAAGCTCAAGAGCGGGGCAAGAAGGATGCAGATCACAGTGGGTCTCCGGAAGCGGTGGCGTCAGGCAACAGCATAAATTACGCGTGAAGATGAAAACTCATTAGCCAAGACTCATCCAAGCCACCGTTTCTGGCAGCACGAACCATTTCTTGTAGCTTTTCCGGCGCACGGAACATACTCCGCGCGATACAAAGGTAATCAAATATGGTACTGTCAGGACTCGTCCAGCTAGGACGAATTACGAGTTAGAGCCCTGCAGGCAAATCATACTGCATACCAAACTAAACTTTTAGCACGTTCTACCAGCACGCACCGCTTGCTGCTGTGAAGCAGGTCAACATAACTGGGAGCTGTCGCCACACAGACCCACGTCACCACACAGACCCACGTCAGTTGGGTCCCCAAAAACCGCGAAACACGAGCAGGTCGTCCATGCACAACGTTACAGAGCTTCTGTCAACGGTCGTCGGAATTCACACCTTCTTCTGGGTCGAGAACCCAGGCAGCAAATCGTCCCCACCGTCGCCCACAACAACAATTGAAAGGCCAATCGAGCCCATAAATGTAAAAATAAGTGGCGCGACCGTCTTGCTTCCGGCTACCGTTGCCTGTTGGGTAAGGCTTCTATGAGCTCTTGGCGGCGCCACGCTTTGATTCGTCGTCAAAACGAAGGTTCAGGCCCGCGCAACGCCGCTCCGGGAGACCTTTAGACGCAGATGGCCACGACTAAGAAAAACAGCGATGAAGATATGGATTGACGTAGTGCCTGCATGCTCGAAACACGCCGTTCGACACAAATGATGTCAAAGCTTCCAATCTGCGTTCTGACGTCTGCTAAGCACCTTGCAGTCGAACCCCCTCAATATTGACGTAACGTTTCGTCATTTTCCCTCTCGCTCTTTCTATGAGTCCCCATATCAATCAACTCATTTATCCCCAATCCACCTTAATAGGACCACCGTGTCAGAAACAAAAGACGCCTGCTCAAGGGGAAGGAAGGCGGCGTCAAGAATGCAGCAAAAGCGTTTGTTGGCGTACCGGGCCGCCCGCCAAATAAACACTCGTAATCAGAGCCACCACTTCCGTTTTTTTCATGTGGAATGAATCTACGCAGGCCACTTGCTTCAAACCCTTACACGGACGACGCTTGAGCGGGCCTTTCTGGGACAAAAGGCCAGCTCAAGCGTCCTACACTTACCATTGGCGGAGTAACCTTGGAAATTACTTTGCTGGTTCACAAATGTAGCTAAGACTTGGCAAAACGAGCAGAGACAGATCAACAAAAGTGACTCGCTTCCGGCATTCGGGTTGTTTTAAGAATGGCGCCTATTATCATTTCAAGGCGGGCAGCTTGAGATGCAGGCTGAGAGAGTCTTCACATTTCTGAGGAAGCATCATGGCGTCAGCTTTGCAGCTTTCTTTTCGAAGATTCGAGGCACCCAGTGAGATGACCTTCGACCCAAACATTCTTCGGGTTTTCACAAGGAAGCAAGCCAGTCTTACTATTGAGGTTTCGCACGATGGACAAAGCACTGCAGCAGGTCAAAGGAACAAGAATCCACTTTCTTCATATCGCGGTTAAACGACCTGATGACTGGGCCGGGATTAAAAGTCACCCGTTTGCGGCAGGATCAAAAATCCCATGTTTCGTCTGTGCGATTTGGGAAATGAAAGACGAGTCTTCAAAAGCTTTGGTTAAACAATTCTCGTGCAGCTGGATCGAGAAACTCCGCCTCCAACCAGACAAGTTGGCCCTCGACAGACGGTCATTTGGTCATAAGGGCAATTGTCCCGCGCATGTCAAGCGTTCTTGAAACTCCTTATTTGGAAACGCGCAACTGCTTCAGAACACGGGCTTCAGGCTGTCACGGTTCAGCCCTTGGGCACGCAAGGTTCCAAGGGCCTTCGATCTCTTCCGAGCCATCATTTGACGCAGACACAAGAAGGCGATGGCCATCCCAGCCAGACGGCACTTGTTGCCTGACCACGAGCGGGAGAGCATAAAAGACGGCACATACTTATCTGAAATGGCGCTTCCTTTCAGTCGTGAGCACAGAAAGGGGTTTGCATATCTGCCTGCCTATCTTTCTACAAGTGATCGTCGAAGCAGTGGCTTGACGTTTGACGCAAAAACTTCCAGCTCGCACCTGCGGGCCTTGTCCAGCGACAGAGTCTCGTCGTTGCCACTACCCTTGAATGAAGAACGTTGGGCAAGATACTCACAATCTCGTGGACAGAAGAACATTTATCATTCTAGCAAAAACGCGTGTTTGACCCCTGACTACTCCTGACTAGGTCCTCGGTAAAGATCCTCGGCCTTCTCTCGCGTCAAGCTTGGAGCGCAGGAGGACCGACTCACTTACAGGCCCAGCCGCGCCCTTCTTATCCAGTTCCGGCCATTACACTTATCGTACTGAAAACAAAGCCAAAAGGTTGGATTGGGCGAGATGAAAGCAACATTCAATCTGCGCGAAGTACGTGCCTCTCAAGAAGCGAATGTAATGCAAAGGAGATGGATCACCATTCAATTGCAACGTTTTACAAAGGCTTCGTCAGACCCGAAGCATTGGATTTGATCCACCGTCCGCTCCGGCAGCGGTTGGTGGCAGAGAGCGGTGTGTTATATCGGCTTGTGTCGCGCGTCCGACAGTTGACATGCTTCAGGAGATGGTAGAAGCTGATGCAAAACTTTTCTAGCTAAAGCGGGGAGTCAACCAATGTACAGTTACAGAATGGAATGTTGCACATGAGTGCCGCATGCACTCTTTAAGGGCCTGGAAGAATTATTCTCCGATCCAGTATAGAACAGCTAGTCAACACGCGCAGGGCCCTTCGTCGCTCTATCCAAACAGACCCCTGCACAGTACACGTAAATACCTGTCAGGATGTCGTTCTTGCACGATTCCCACACCCTTCGCAACGTGCTCTCCCAACCAGAACCACAATTCTCGTTCCGGTTGGCGAAGTCAAACACACGCTTTGTGATCCGTGTACCTTCCAAAACGCAGTGTTTTGAACAGAGACAATCTCAAAATCAACACTTATTCATGCATTTTTTTTGCGTTCCATTCCAGTTGCGGTCTTTATCAACGAACACTGTCTTTGCGAAGTTAGATCCAACGAAGACAAGAGAGAGCTCAATCAGCTCAACAACAGTCTGAAAAGCTTAGGACGGAACAGATTCAGGTTTGGCAACAGAAGCGGTCCCCTACCTGGCTTTGAGCTTCTGTTCCCCGACCTTTCGCCGCCCGTACAACACGTCTCCCAGGTCCTGCTTCATGGGCTCCTCGTCGAACTCGCCCAACAAATCGTACCGCTCCTCACCGAAGCCCAAATCCTTCCTCCGGTAGACCTCGTACTTGCCAGGATAGACGTACCTGCGGGGCCGTGAAAGCATGCGAGCTTTGTTCAGCGGGATCTGTTGACTTGACTAGCAGCGAAGTTTGAGCTTGATAGCTTCGAGGGATGGCGGCAGGCTAAGGAAGCGTAATAAAAAGGCCACGCCGGACTAGGATATGCCGTATACGGTTTTCTCTGCGCCACGACGGCATAACACGCAGGCAAACAGACTGGGCTAAACATATGGGCTACGCTTGACTTTTCAGGTGGTCTGGAGTATCATCAAGTGTTCTTCATCAGATGTTCTGCAATCAAAGGTCTACCCGAGGAGGCCTGAAATACACGAATGGCAGTTTGGGGCGGGGACCTAGAGTGCTAGAGCAACGAATTCAAACCGCGTGACTTCTTGAAATCCAGGAATTATAGGAAACAGTCTTCACGGCTTCATTGTTCCTTGGTCCGAGCGTCGGATTCCGACTACTTAAGGCTTTCGGCTAAGCTTCTAGGACCGAAGAACAAGTCAAGGTGCTAGGATCAGACAGGAGGGCTAAAGCTGCTACAACCTGAGAAACTGGGTGGAAGAACTAACAATCGGAGGGATTGGACTAAAGTTGCAGAGTCCGGAGACCTGATTTTCAGTGACAGACGTACCTGAGCGCGCCCATGATGGGGTAGAAGTTGGTGGCGGCCTTGTAGAGCAGCCGGAAGTTGTAGCACTGGAAGAACGACGCAGTGAAGCGCTCACGCTCCTCGCGCCCGCGGATCTGCATCACGCCGGCGGAGCTGGGCACGTCCTGCAACGAGAAGCGTGCGAGCATCTTGTGTCTGTGCAAAAGGATTGAGCAGCGTCCGAAATGATACGAGCAGCGCTCTTTTTGCCTGCGACTCCGCATCACGCGCGCCGGACGTCCTGCAGGAGGTGGGAACGTAAGTGCGCGAGCGTTATACGTCCAAATGATTCCAGCAGCGTTTGAGTTTTTTCGAGAAGCGCTCCTCGCGCTTGCAAATTGCATCAAGCCGGCGGAGCTGGGCACGTCCTGCAAGAGAAAGTGCGCGAACATTCATGCGTCCGAAAGAATTGAGCCCTTATGAGTCCGAACAATTTGGCAGCGTCCGACTCCGTGTGAGGAGCGCTTGTATTGGCCACGGATCTGTATCACACCTGCCGAACTAGGCACGTCCTGCAGGGATAGACGCGAGCATTCATGCGTCCGAAACAGATGAGCACCGTACAGAAACTTGAGGGCAGCGTCCGATTCCGTATGAGGAGCGCTTATCTCGTCTGTGATTCTGCAATACGTCCGCCGAGCTATGCACGTCCTGCAGGACATAATGCGCGAGCAGTCATGCGTCCAAAACAGCTGAGCAGCGTCCGCATCAGTACGAGGAGCGCTCCTCTCGCTCACGAATTCACACTCGGCCCGCCGAGCTGGGCACGTCCCACGAGGAAGAGGTGCGCGAGCATGTATGCGTCGGAAAGATTTAAGCAGCGTCCGAATCCGTACGCGGAGCGCACCTCCGCCCGCGAATCTACATTATACCCGTCGAGCTAAGCACGTCCTGCAGGAAACTGCGGCGAGTGTATTCGAATGCGTCCGAAAGATTTTAGCAGCGTCCAAATGAATACGAAGAGCGCTCATCGGGCCCGCGGATGTGCATCACGCCCGTAAGGCACGTTCTGCAAATAAAAGCGTGCACGCGTGCTCTCAGGCCATTTCAACGGTTTGTGAAACGGTTTGTGAAAGTGAAAGAAGCGTCCACTCCTTGGTAATCTCGTTGCACGTCTTATGACCATACACTTTCGCCGAAGCGCCCCAAAATTGATAGGAAGGGTACATAATCCTACAAGGAGCGTCCATAAAAACATTCTCATCGTAAGGGTAATGATCCGAGTTCGCAAAGAGTTGGCACCGACTGCCTTTAAGTCCCGAGAGTTGCAAAGAGAACCACTGACCTTCAGTCGCGGGTTCACGATTGTCAGCGGCCGCGTTCCCGCAGCCTCCAGCATCGCTTCCAAATCCTGCAAAAAGCTGTAGTCAGGTACGCACTTCCTCAAGTGTCCGATGCAACAGTACCGTCCGTTTATTCCGCTTCCGTTGGCTTCGTGAAGCACTGTCTGACTCCGCGCCATTCTCAAGGGACGCTGGGGCGCTTTGTATGCCATATATGCTCCCAGTATGACCTTCATTCAGAGTTTACAGAGCAAGGTCACCACGAGAAGTTTTTAAGTGCGATTGTTACGAGTTCCCCCGATATCCATTTCTGCAGATCGAGACACCTTTCTGTCATTGAGCTCTTGACCTGATTTTGACCCGCCATGCGCTACGAGGTGACTCCTGTCTTAGCTTTCCGGGGGAATCGAGGAATCCGTCAGCAAACGATCCCACATTTTTCATACGGATCTCGACAGCACTCCCTTCGTAAGGCCTGAGATCACTGTCCAATCGTCGTCGAACGGAATATAGGCAACACCGCTCTGAAAACGGATTGTAAAGGAACGGCGACTCACCGGAATGATGCAATTCGCTACCGCGTTTTGGGGCGCCCTGACGATAAAGAGTTCGTCCTCATCGGCTACTTCCTTCGCTCCTGGACATAGAGGCAGCGAGGCTAAGAACAAAATTTTATTGCACACAAGGTTCATCAGAGAAGGTTTGCCTCGTTGTTCTCTTCCATTTTTCGTTGAGCATGATCTGGAGAGAAGCAACCCACACTTGGCCCACGGCTTGGTTTGCGAGCAATCTCTGGAATTGGGGAAGCGAAACAGAAGAAGTACCTCGCGAAGCTGAGCTGTCCCAGTTGTACTAACTTTCTTGCGTCTCGGCAGAAGGCGCCTCCAACGATGGGCCACTAGTAAACCGAAGTGATTCACACGAAACCGCAAACATGGACTTTGCGGAATAAGCAAGAGCTCTTGGAGGCGAAAGACTGCCGATACAAGGTTGCCTGTACCGACGGCTTCCCCAGCATAGGAGTCTAGCCGATCGTTTCTGTCTCTTCAACACGCCTGAATCAACCAATTCAACCAAGGAAACACGCTTATCAAAGATGGGGAAACACGAGGGAATCGATTGCGGAGACAGACTCCTTGAAAAAGAGTACCACGATACACACAGGAACGGTTTCGAGCAAGTGATCTTCTAGGAATATTCGAGCGCTCTTACCGACTGCTCCGAAGCGGATGAAGTTGGCTTTGTCCTCCTCGTCCCCCCAGTCCATGCTCTCGATGATGCGTCGTGTGCCGGCCAGCGCGAGGGGCATGCCGGAGAAGATGCCGTCCCCCATGCTGCCCTGGACGCACGCCTGCAGGAAGAAAACGAAGACAGAACCGGCAGTCAGGGGCGATTAACAGCTCCAAGGCTTTCCAGGTCCAAGGCTTCCGGTTCCTCTCTGAAGCGGCATGCCGTCCTCCATGCTGCCCTACACGCACAATCGAAGCAACGGAAAAAGGAAAAGAAACGGCAATCAGCGGCAGTGATGAGCTTCGCGAAATTTGTGGAAGTCACGTGGGCTTTCAGTCCCGTGCGAGGCTCCAAGCAGCATGCCGAATAAGATGCCATCCTCATGTTCCCCTGCACGCACATTTGAAACTAGGAAAATGGAAAGAAAAACCGGCGGTAGCTTGTGGCTTAAGCTTCAAAAAACTTGTGATTGTAGAGGTACGGGGGTGACTTTTCTACCCTCCCCAATAACCAGCTCTCCCAACGTCGTCGAACGGCGGGCAAAAATATCCGCACTCGGCGACCACAAAATAATTAGAAAATCTTTGTAGGAAGATGACGTGCTGAACTCAGCGTGGCTCACCTTGACGCGCTTGCCGTCGTCAGCGAAGGTGAAGGCGAGCTCGCGCATGAGCTCCAGGAGGGTGCCGATCCGGTACACGTCCATCTCGGGGTTCAGCTCGGGGATGATGCACCGGATCTGCAGGTGACGTCAGCCTAGTGGTTGGTTCCCGTGATGCCAATCATACAGCGCAGCCGTCTATCTATTGCAGAACCCGGGTCGTACGATCCGCTTTGGAGCCCTGTCGCATGGCTTGCGAAGGTCACGCTCTTACAAATGGGGAGAAATCAATACGGGTTTGACAGACGGGGGCTTCAAACCGGCATCTTACGTCAAGCCACCGTCGGATGACGTCACAGGAATGAGCAAAAAACGTCATGCATGTCCGTCTTGAAGTTTAAGTCTTGCTTCGGTGAATACGCAAGAGCCGGTTACCAGATTGCTTACACTAGCATGCTCGCTCTGCCAGCTTTCAAAACTTGCCGCAATCCGAACGTTGTCCACCCTCAAACTAACAGTGAGCCTCGAACCCGATGTACCAAACAAAGGCGATCTAGTAGAACTCGAACAGAGGTGCTCCTAGCTTCGATCGCCCACGACACGCACCTCTAGTTGGTGCAACCCGTCGTTGACGGCGTTGTTCGTCGCAAGGCACGCCTCCCGGTAAAAGTGCTCCCGGATCTCTCGTGGGTAGGGGGTCGTGTTCAGCCGCAGCGGGATGGGCTCTAGAGAGTCGTGCAGGCTCTCTGAAGGGCGCGCGCCGCACTGGCTCAGGCCGGGACGCTGTCGCCTACAGAAGGCAAACAAGTTGCATTCGAAATTTGCAAAAGATGAACATGTTCAAAGTTGCATCGCTTGGCAAAACGCAGCAGTATGGGCTCTACGAAGTCATGAAGGCTCTCTGAAGGCCACCGTATTGTTTCAAGCCGGGAGGCTGTCGCCAACAAAAGAGACAAAAAATTTCCGTTAAGTCTTTGCAGAAGGTGAAAATGGTTGGACCTTGCATCTCTTTCTAGGCCGCACGGAAGTGGCTCTGAGAAATTCTGTAAGCTCTTTGACGGGCGCCGCACGAGCTCAACCAGGGACGCTGTCGCCTGAACAATAGTAAGGAAACAGTACCCTTTAGTTTCCGTACAACATGAGGTTTCCTGTAAGAAGCGGCTCCGCTACCCACGATCCAGAATTTGTGGCGAACAAGCGGCAAAGAGCGTCGTGTAGTGATCATCGACGCAACACGCTCTCTCTTTGAACTGGTTTGGCAAGGCTTGTAGCTGTTCAGTTAATCTGCCCAGAACTAGAGACATGCGGCATGTCAATACTACTCACACAGCAATTCAAGATAAAGCATTCTTAAGTAGCTGTAACAAGCGGCTCTCCTTTGAAACTAGAACAAAGCGTGGCTACCGCATGCACACATCTCCCACAACAAGTCGGATGCGGGCGTCAGGACTTCACCTAACAATCTTCGTAATCTTTCATCCGGTTGGGTAAATCCTAGTTAATTGGTTGGACGAATGTAGATTCATCTCCATTTGCCATCAGCTTCCACTCCTAGAGTAGACTTTCACTGGCTCCAGCAAAGTGCATCTTACCGTCTCTTCCGGTGGAGGGATTGCTGCCTCGCTGAGAAGCGACTCCCGTGCTACCTGCAACGCAACCGATTATCAGTCAAGCGTCTCTGCAACTTTCAAAAGCTCGAATCTAATGTGATCGCACGACAGCATCTGCGAAACGAGTAGCACGCTGGCCGCTCTCATTTTCACGTCCCGTGCACGAACTACTGCTTTGAAAAACTGGCAGCATCAGTCCACACGCTGCAGTGGGCTACAGCCACTCAGAAAGTAGTCTCGTCCCAGCCACCGTTCCAGTCTCAAAAGCAAACGGCGCCCCACAGAAGAAGGAGCACAGAGTGGGGTCAAGCCTAGGACACCGGAGAACCAAAAGGAAAGAAATGCGACAAAAACAGTCTAAAAAATCCAACGGCGCCACGGCCAAGCACCTTGGAATACTCAAGTGGGCGATGCCTCTGAGCTGCATCTTCTTTCAAAACGACGGAGTGTCAACCAAGCTGTCAGACTGGCAGCCATGTCCAGTACAACTGCAACATCTTTGGCAGTTAGAACCGGCTAAGCAGAAGTTTGGAGATCTGTCCGCAACCTTTAAATCTCTGTGGTTGCGATCTCCTGCGCGCACCACGATTCTCGTGCTTTGAAGTTCAGAGGGGTGCGGCCAGCGGTAGCGGCAGTAGCGTCAACACGCAGAAGTCAGGTGGCCATCTTAAGAAGATAGACCACTAAGAAGACGTGATTTTTGCAACGAGGCGGCAGATTGACAATGAAAAGGAATAAGGCGCCGACTGGCCTATAGAACCAGACAGTGGCAGGGACAATGACCGCCCGTTAGAACCTGGTTGCTTTTTTGATCTGCAACTAGACCAGTGGGCTCCAGACTAGAGCTTTGCTTTCAAGCTGCACTTCCATAAGCTCACTACAAGGGCAACCAGAGATTCAAAGCTCATTCCAATGGCCACGCTGGGCGGCCGAGGGAAGTCACATCAGTTGCAGGTGAAGATAGGACTCAATAAGTGCTCAAAAGGAAGTGTTGCACACTTTTGAGGTCAGCGGCTCAAACGAGCGCGAGTGAGGCAGGTGGCATCAGGCATTGTCCTCCATGCTATGCTGGGTATATGAACCCAACAGGCTGCCAGTATTGGTCATCTTTGCCTCCGCATGAAGATAAGATGAAGACAATGGCTTCCTCAACAAATCACGATGCAACGCTCTTCGTACAGACCCAAGCTGACCCCAGTGTTGCAAATGGCAGCAAGCTGCTCTTACCACTTCGATCAAGTTTACAGGCATCGACATACGCTCTGAAAATTGTCGGCTTCGTGGCGGGACGACATCAGAAAAACGACAGTAATTGGAGCTAGAACCCCAACATGAATGCGTCTCATCTTGGCCCCTGACCATTACAGTTCTATGGCAAGTCTAGGCACCGAAAGCCCAATTGTCTACAGCGTCCTCATCGTCCTCATACACCTGACCCAAGCTCCAAGTCTGCACTCCGACCTTCAATGCGGAATGCTCCAACGCACATCCAAGCGGCTCTTTGTTGTAGGCGGTCCATCAAGAATCCGTTCAACATTGAGCTGGACGGCAGTTACTGGCACGCAGGATGGTTGACGGCAAAGAGTCGCATATTCGAATCATCGACGGCCTCAAAAGCGTCGAGAGGCAAATGGAGGAACGGGAGACCCCACAACTGGCACATGCCTACAAACATATAACAATCCCATGGTACGGAAGGTGGGCCCCTTATTCAAAGTGGCAGACAAAGTAGCATCGCTTTTCTGGCGTAACTGACAAGAGTTTCACAGGAAAAAGACACCGCCAGCAAGCCCCTCTTCACGGCGACCCCTGCAGCGAAGCGAGAACTGGAAGCGCCGACGAAGACACAACAAGCCTCTAAAAGCACTAGCATCAAATCCGAGTAAGAGGCGATTGGCTTCCTAAGCCAACAAGCTTGTTCCATCCGTACCACGAGCCGCTTTTTGTCTACATCCGACGGCCAAGAAGCGCATTTATTGACGGCCGGAAAGGAGTAAGCAGCAGAAGAGAAGCAAAATAGGCAACGACCGGCACGTTGACTGGCAGGTTTCCAGGAACAAAAGGTGTGTCCGATCTTGACATTCTGAGTCAAACAAGGCGACTTTACTGGCTTCAGTCGGAGTCGAGAGGCGGACTGAGCACGGACTATGCCCAGTAAATCATCACAGCCATCAGTCTCAGGATACAGGAAGACAGAGGCAATTCTAAAATTGGAAGGACAATCTATGATAAATCAAGTCAGAGGAAATACCCGTTGACCTCCTTCCAGAAAATACAAAAGACTGCATGTTGAGTAGGACCTGACAAGAGACCGCTGGCCAAGCGGAGTTGTCAAAGCCCAACTCATTACCGAGCCGAGCCGGCGTCCAAACCCCGCTCGGCCTTTCCGCGGATCAAAGCCAACTGCACCAGAAGCACAACTTTAAGGACCACATGACATGCATCTCCTTTGATGTTTTGCGAGCTCGTTGCAAATTGAAAGCATAAGAAACACAAATCCTTTTCCAGTTGCTCTTCGCTCGCGTTGGATGGACGCAGAACCTCTTCGACAAAGTAGATATCAACCATACCCCGGACGAGAACGAGTCAGATGCCGGCTTCAGACGCGAGTAACACGAGGAAGCTGGGTCGAAACCCAGACGTGCAAACTCATCCTGGCCGTTTTCAACGTCAGCCTTACTACACCGGGTACTGGTGGGAACTGTTTAGGCGCGAGGCGCATGCTTAGATGCCGTCGCGAGACTTCAGCCACAGCGGAAAATATGTTGCTACAACCCATTTGACAGTCGCATGGTCGACAACGACGGACAACGACGACACCCCTGCTGTATAAATTGAGCCGAGCTTACCAAAGTTTGAATTCGGCCTCAAGAGTGCCGAGAAGCCGTCAAGGCGATTTTGCTCAAAGAATGCGACTTTTCTAGGACCAACAGTGCAGGCGTTGTACGCACTAGTTTGCACGCGATTAAAAGTAGGGGAAGTTGCGGGCCCGTCGTTTCCTGAGTGTGACCGTCAGAAGCAGAATATGGTTACGCTCGACACACTTCCAGCCTTCGTCGAGGAGAAAGACACAGATACACCGGCACACGAACAGGACCGTGGAGTGCCGACTTCAAGGTCTTTGGAGACGTTGCCACGTGGCAATGTCCTGGCCGACCACGGCATTTCCAGAGGCAACACGACGAGTTTGAACCACCTTCTCAAGAGCAAGCGTTAGAGATTGCTGTAAATGTTTCCTTGTACTTTCTAGCATCAATCAGCCTGCTGGACTTGAATCGAGTAATGGTGGCATCATGCAAACCCGTGCGCACCGCTGCCAAGCTTCCTAAATTGAGGGCAAAGAAAAAGCTCTGAGCCAAGGGTTACAAATCCTTCAGCAGCCATAGAACGGCCAACTTTCGTCGGCACCGTTCCGGAACACGTTTGCAAACGTACGCAAAGGTTCTCGCATCCACCAGAGCGACCAGCCTGCAGAGGATCCTCAAAGCGAGGCGTCGGAAGAGCAGCAAGCAAATATCGACATCGGGTGGCTCCGAAAGTACAGATGAAAAATGTGTGAGCGTAAAGACTCAGCGGCACTCTCTTCCCGGCCATGCTTCAATCGAACGCAGTACAATATAACATTTAGAACCAATCACGAGGGCATCAACTTCAAACACTGGGAATAGAGTTGTTGGCGGCTACGGTCGGTACAGTAACATGCCTAGATTGGCAGTTGGTTGTCGAATTGAAGCTCAGTCCAGGTGGCTCTCCTCATCGTCCGCATCATAAGACATAAAAAAGCCGCTGTCCGGACTGGAGCGTTCAAAAGTGACGGCTTCAGGGGACCCAATCGTCGCAATTGGGAGGTAGGCCTGGCAACTTGAGGTCGTTTGTCTCCTAGCCAGCGTTCACGACAAAAGAACCTTGAAAGAGCTTCAAGACCATCTGAAGTAGCCAGCTTTAGCCTGGACTGCCCAAACTTGGGTGAGTCAAGAAGGGCATCTACGGCAGTGTGCTGCCAAGCTGGATTACGATCTGCCCTTCCTAGACGTGCCTAATCTGCCCTTTTGCAGACCAACCTTGAACATTGTGCACCATATAAAGTGTTTTCCACTATTGCCGTCGGCACGGAGCCCGGATCTGAGTGTTACACTCAAGCAGGCAATCTCGTCACAGCCGTTGAGGACCACCAGCAATGGCCAAGAAAGATGATTTTAAGTTCACTAGGGGAATCGCACTGCTTAGAAGAAATGGGGCTTGAACGAGGCGCCCGACAGGCTTACGAAACCTCTCTAAGACAAACCGATTTGCATATCGACGAGGATGTACTCGTCGAGCATAAGCAGAAGCGTCAAGACTTCATGTCCAAGTACTGTTCGCATTGTTTAGTGGGCAGCTTGCATCCCAGCTTCTGCTCCGAACACAGAACAATGAATCGGTCGTGCAAAAGGGCAATCTCTGCCAATCCAGATTGTATAGCAGCCAAAACCTTAGTTACCCAGACTTGAGACGCATGCCAGGCTTCTGTCAGGTGGGGACCCGGCCTCGAATTCAGAGAAGCCCACCGAGCGTTCTTGCTGGAGGCGGCCTCAGCCCACCAGAGCACTCTATCACGATAGACAGTCCCGTTGCAGGCATGCGCTTGCCTCTGCCGCGGAAATATGCAAGTACTGATAGTCGCTCGCGTGTTCAAGATCATGATGCACGCATTTCTTGTGTCTTGGCGTCGGACTAACAGAAGCTGAGAAGTGCAATGAGGAGAAGTTTGCAGCTGTCGAATGTCTTCACAGCCTCGATCACAAGGGAAAAGACAAATCCAACTCGCACACCTACAATAGACAAGAATACTGACTGCAGACCTCACGGAACTATTGCCACGTAGCAACATCTCAGCCGTTCATGGCGGCTTCCGAGCAGACTGATAAGATTGTACCAGCCCCATGCAAAGCAAGCATTATGTGCGGTTGCGGTTACACACACTGTAGGTTCCAACCTTTGGCATCAGTCAGTCTACTAGACCGAGTCTGGTGGCACTTTCACTGACCGCGCGCAATACGGTATCCATGGCAGATCAAATGCTCTAAGGACAAGACAAGAGATGACCTGACACCAACCGCTTTCACGTGAAACAAGTTCACAGATTGACATGGAAGCTCAACTAGGTAACCAGAATGATCGGCCACTGCAGCAGACCGCCGGGAGTAACCGCTTGCAGATAAACGGGACATCAATGGTTTCCTGCCCTTCGTGCGGGCATGAGCAACCTAAACCAGGAACTGACGGAGCACTCACAATGTGCATAGTATGCAATTTCCTGGGTGTCAGTCGCCTGCCTTTGGTTGCCGTGCAAAGGTTCCCACGTTCTGATTCTTGTGCAAGAACCGCAATTACCCCAATGACGATTCGGACAAGAACAATTGGGGCATCAGACACCAGCGTACTTTT